GCATGGTAACTTGTTTGCTGGCTGATATCAGTGTAACATCTTCAAGATTGCTGCATCATGTATGCATTTCAAGTAAGTTATCAGCTTTTGAGCCTTTATGTCAAGCTGGATGTGATGTAAGTTGGGACACCATTTTGAGTTGGCTGTGTCATGTGTTTAACACACATTTCAAGTAGGTTGTGATGTTTGCAATCTTTGGGGAAGATGAGACCAATTGCACTCGTCCCGGCCTGCTTGAGTTGTGATGAATCACCTACACACTCAGAAAAGCCTTTCATACTACTACTACTACTACAACAGTCTAAGGGATCTTACATTGTGATCTCATATAACATGATCTGTATGCACATGGAGATGACATAGCTAAATTCCACAGTCTTGTTTATTGTAGGTGTAAGATCTTCTTTAATTATTTAAAAATTTTGCGGACTCTCTCACGTTCACTGAATAGCAAATAACTGAGTTTATCACAATTATTTCACCTGCCAGATGTATCTCATTTAGCAAAGTGTCCAATCCTCCTCAGCATGCATACCTGTTCAATGAGCTAGAAGACAATGTGTCACTAATGACTTTTCACCACTGACATTCTTGCCTGTTAAATTAGCTGGAAGACAATATGACCATTTCCTCCCTAGCCGCAGAAGCAAACCGATAATAGTAAGACCATGAAAGCAGAACAGTTATAAAAATTTTACCAAAATTAAAAAAAAAAAAAACAACTTAACCCTCAAACTGTGGGCGGCCGATAAAAACACAATCCGATTGCAACTTCCAATCCAATATTTAGCAGGAATCATAGCCACTCCCTTTTATTAATAATGAAATCAAATTCTGGGTCAAGCTGTTTCTTGGTAACTTAAAAATAAGTACTTTTTAATGGGAATTTTATATCGCTGTTTTTTTTTTTTAAAGCTAAAATGGCATGACATCTCACTTCAGATTCTTCTTTTCGTGAATTTGATACTAGTCTTAGTGATACTGATATAGGCCTACTGTTTGACTTCGAGCCAGGCCCCGTAGGTTTTGTATTTTGTACTTGGTTTTAACTGTGGTCCCAGTTTCTTATATAAATGACCTAAAATTGCTGTCATAGGTTTAATTGTAATCAAAACCTTAGCAAACTACCTTGAGTGTTACCTTGACTCTGTCACTGCAATGACCTGTTGTGTAGTATTCAGTTTGCTCACAGGATGTTTGTTTTCTTGACCCTGTCACTGCCATGAGGTTGTGAGTAGAGCAATCTGGTTTTGTCACACAAATTGCACTAATCCCGGCCTACATCCACGTGACTTATGCTGCAAGTTTTCATCATCCATTGGATATAACACATTTGGACTTAGACATTGTTTTTAAAAAAAAAATTCTTTAGTATCTTTTGTTAAAAAATTATTTATAGTTAGAGATTGCTCTGATCTAATTCAGATCTTGATCACTTATTAGTGTGGATATATTTAAAGGTAGTTTTACACAATGGTTGATTTATTATTAGACCGATGTATAGAACCGGTGTATAATTTTAGTGATGTTAACATGCATGCAGTACAAGTGTAAAGAACTATTTACTAGTACCACCTATAGTTATAAGCCAATGCTGAGCTCAAGTAGACATCACAGTTTTATATAAAACCTATGGTGTCACTTTCATGCTGTTATTTGTTTATTTCAGATGGGTTCACTTTCATACGGTTATTTGTTGTTATCAGATGGTGTCACTTTCATACGGTTATTTGTTGTTATCAGATGGTGTCACTTTCATATTTTTTATTATGTGTGGAAATTGAATAATCCATGAATTTTCAGTTTATGGAAGCTTTTTAGGAGGGTTTATGAAAAGACACGAGGAATTATATTGAAAGAGGGGATATTTGAAGAGGACAGAAAAGTACTAAGGGTTCTTATGGTGACCAAATGAAAAAGATTAGTGTAGGCCTTAAACCAGGGATATATTTAATGGTCAGTAAAGGCTCACATTTTTTTTCTTCTTAATATTCTCAGAATGAAAATTGTAAATCTTTGGGTGGAAAATAAATTTAAAAAAAATATTCTTAATTGCTAGGAAAATATCATTTTTTATTTTTTTTAAATATCTTAAATATCAAGGAATCTTTAATGAGAGCCACTACAAAGCTAGAGGTAATTCCATAGCTAAGTTATCCCAATAGTTATGATGTGAAATTATTAAAAAACAAATTTGTAGCAACTTTCTGAACTTTGACTTAATTGTCTTTGACATTTGAATTTTTAACTGCCTAAGTGCCCAGGCTGTACATACAGCTTCAAGACGTCACCATCATACATCATTGGGCATTTATAAAACACTCCAGGTCTCTGATCAAAGGCATTATTAAGTGGTGAGGTTCTAATTCTAAATATTCACAGCATTAAATAAATAGTTTGGAGGGAGATATGGGGGTCTGTCATTGTTGGTTTTCTATTATTTTTTTTTTTTTACATTTATTTATGACCCTTTGAATACACAAAATGTGAACATCCTTTGCCCATTTCCTATTTATTTGGACTTTTAGGATCCTCTGTAATTATAATTTGTTCCAACTCTAATTTTTGTGACTTTTGGATACTCGTTAACTATAATTTTTAATTGTTCTATTTGTATAATTTTCTTGAAACATAAGTTATTCATCCTTCTATTTTTATGAATTTTAATCTTCTTAAAGTTTCATCTTTCTAGAACAAGAAATTGCATGAAAATAATGACTTCATAGATTTCTACATTACTTCAGTGAGAAAAAAAGAATTGTAACAATTACTGTTAAGTACACCAATACCAAATATAATCAAGGGTACAAAAAAAAAACACATGTTTCTACAAAAATTATGCACAGTTTTTATTATTTTTAGAAATTAAAAAATTGATGTTGTCACCCAGTGGTTGGCGACCCACTTTCCCGAACTACATGCTGAGCTTTGAAAAGATTGAACCAACCCTTTTTTAAAAAAAAAATCTTTGTGTAATAAGGTTTCAGCTCTCAAACTATTTTCTTAGTAGGTATGAAAGTCTTGAAAATTAAACAAAAAATAGCTCCCAGTCCCATACAAAAAGTTTGCAGGTACAGTAAAAAAAAATTGTTTTTCTTTTCTGCTGAAATTTAAAAAATCTGCCAAAATAAAACTTGACAGCTAACATAATTTTTTTTTTTTTTTTTACAGAAGTGATGGTCTTGGCTGCATCACTACAAGATTTCCAAAGCGAGGCAGAGACAGTCAGGAACTCTTCTTAAAGCATATTTGGTCATTTGATTATGATGCAAGATTTGGAGCAAGTGATCTCGTACAAGTTTAAACTTGAAGATCCTCTCTCCCACCCCCTCTCCCCCTGAAAGCTGTACTTCTGTGATATTGACAATTTATAATTACTGAACATCATGTCTAATGCTTAAATAAAACAACTATCGCATTTGAGACCTCTGATAAACGTTACATCAGCGAAATGTACCATAAATAGACCATTTTCATGTGATTCCCATGTTGAAATGAGACATTCATTACTAGATTTTTTTGTTGAAAATGTAAGTCTGAAACTCAAAGAACTTGCTTTTACCCTTGCCAAAGTATCCCTTTGTTAAGTTTCTCCTTTTGTAATTTATTTTTTATTGTTTCTTTATTGTTTTTTTTACTCTGTGCCTTAATTTGACCTCAAGTTCCACATTTTAATTGTGCAAAGACTTGGCGTCACCTGAGAAAGATTTGAGATCACGCTGCATTTCACTGACTCAATAACCAGCGTATTGTAGATGATACATTTTATTGTAATCGGGATCATATTTCAGTTTGAAATTTACTTACATGTATTGGCAGTAAGCAAACGGTGAAATTATGTCTTTAAAGGATATGGAGTTGAAAAAATAATAATTGATTGGCACTTTTGTTTGTATTTTAAATTTATGTGTTGTCCACCATACTGATGGTGTCTGGCCAAAAAAACACCACAAAATTATCCATTGTCAGAAAATTTTACAAATTCCTATTTAATCATCTTATCCTGGTGTGACTTTGACATTTAAATCCAGTTGATGAATCCAGTTAATTGTTTCTATAGTATAGTAGTTACTATCCTAATGTCTCATTTTTATTTTAGTTTGTTTACATGTTTTTAATAATTGTAAAGCGCTTAGAGCTTTAAGGTAAGCGCTATATAAAAATGCCTAATTACATAAATAAATCCACTTGGTACATCTGAACTACTGGGATAATAGTTAAATTCAATTAATATGCTGAATTTTTGGGTTTCATGGATTTTTAAAGCAATGGCAGTGTCCTGGTTATGCACTGCTCACCATTTGATGAGGCAAGTTAAATTATTAACAGTAAAGCTAAAAACTTTCAAATGTAATAAATTCGCAGAAGACATTTTTTTGTAGAAAGTTAAAATAATTATTTTCATTATTGAGATTGAATAATGTTATATTATTTTAAAAACAGTTCATTGTTTATTGCTGTTATTGATTTCTTATTTTTAAAAAGGACTCGTCAAGTGAAACAAGTAGGGTACCGGTAATTAACAGTAGCAAGTTGATTTATTCACTAAAGCACATTTAATTCAATGTAGAGCTCCTCTCCTTTTTACTTTACAGATACATTAGAAAAACAAATGAAGATCAGCATTTCATGTTGGAATTTTAATTTTTTTTTCTCTAAATTTCACATTTGGGATTAAATTTAATATTAATTTTTTTTAAGGTAGCCAAGAGTGTGCGTGTATGTATTTTAAAAGACGCTGCTAAAAAATGGTTATCATTGTTAAAAATATACTTTTTTTAACTACAAAATTACGAATCTACAATAATTTTGTCATCTCCTGGAGCTTTCAAGAACAAAATTGTAATATAAGGGGAATAATTGCGATTTCTGGGTTGTCTCTCTTTGACTATACATTTCAATGAGCTTGTAAAGTTGACATTTTAATTTTAAAATTTTTTTTAAAAACAAAAATTTCCTTTTCAGAAATTCCATAAATGTTTATGTTTTATTCTTTAAATGTCACATTCAAATTTTACAGAAAAATTATTTAAATATCAGATAACTCAGAGCGGTTGATAATTATGTGTTTTGTTAAATAACAAATACCTGGACGCCAGAGCGTGCAAGAGTGCACCTATAGGTACCAGCTGCAATGGTGAAAGAATCTTTTTTTTTTTCTTCAATTATGACCATCTACTTTTTGAGATAAGTATCAAGATGTGCCCCACTAGGGGTTAGCTGGTACTTTAGGGACAAACTGAGAATGTGGTCCAAAAGGTGATAACTCCGAAGAGGGAATACTAAAGTAAAGCTGTTTTGATATAAGTCACCTTTATAAATATAAACAATCATTTGTAAAGAGTAAATAAATAGTCTAGTTGAATTAAAATCAATAAAGTTTGTCAGGACTGTAAAAAAAAAAAAAGGGCACATTGCCCTCAGGTGAAAATGTATAAATCAATATATAACAGATGGCATGTATAAATTAATAGGTCCTGTATCACAGATGGCATGTATATTATAAATTAGTAGATCTTAAATTTTACATACACATTTTGTTAATGTTATATATAAATACAAAGTTTATAAGATGCTAGACTAAAATATTACAGCAGTTGAACTGTATCCACAATTTTCCTTATTTGAACAAGAGTGCACGTGCGGGTCTGTCCATATGTGCCCCATGGTGTACACGAAGGCCCCGCTGCTCCCTGGACACGTCGGTGCCTGGTACTGGTACGCAAATGCCGTCTCGCCAAAATCTAGCTCCTCCTGCTCAGTCCACTCACCGACGGACACGTACTTTGGGCAGCCGTGGGGGTGAGACACGATCACCACCAGCCGGTGTTCCTTGCCGGAGTACTCGTCGTTGACCTTCCCCACCAGGTCATAATACTTAAACTCTAGGCCGCGCAGCTTCTCGGCCAGCGCCGTGTCGTGTGTGACACAGATCAGGCAGCAGGTGTCACAATCGACCAGCTCCACGCTAGGGGTCACGCAGGGAATCGGTCTCCTCTCATCGGTGTTACGTGACTGGGTTTTGATTCCGACACCTTCCAGCAGCGTGAGGTCTCCGTTCCCGGAGGATACCTTGTCGTAATGCAAGCGACAGCTGGCTTTCTGGGCTTCAGCCTCATCAAAGATGAGATGAACGGCCGTGTAGACAATCAACTCGGCCCACTCCTTCGAGGGTGTTGGCGAGTTGACGCATGCCCCGCAAGGACACGTGGCGCCATCTTCTTCCTCGTGCATCACCACATGCCACACGATTCCGCTCCCTACTCTAAGATCGTTGGTTCCGCGCTTGTCCGAAAACGGATACTGCCCGGCATTTCGTTCGCCAGATATTCCACCAGGATACACTGGATAAATAGTCGCATCGTTTAAAGTCGATCTCGGGCGATTCGGGCTCGTCCATTCCACACTGACCCTGACGGTCAGCGCTGCCTGCACCTGGATCATTTCATAAACTAGTGGGTTTTGATATTCGGGCGGCAGGTCGGAGATTGTGAAGAGTTCCATAGGTACAAAGCTGCGATGTTTGTCATGTTTTTCACATTGTGTGTACATCTCTAGTGCGCCTTCTCCTTTGAAGTCACCAAGGCTTTCATGATCACCTGATAGATAGAGCGAGGGATACATAAGCCGACGTCATCGGTGACGAAGTTGGGACTATTAAAAACGTTGAGAGTCTGATTAAGTTTTTTATCGTGGCTTGATCATTTTTAGAGGATGCCACTAACCTCAGATCTGTGCGAGCAGAACTTTGTGGACAACACAATGTGGACAACACTATGTGGACAACACTATGCGGACAACACTATGTGGGCAACACTATGTGGACAACACTATGAGGACAACATTATGTGGACAACACTATGCGGACAACACTATGTGGACAACACTAAGCGGACAACACTGTGGACAACACTATGTGGACAACACTATGTGGACAACACTATGTGGACAACACTATGTGGACAACACTATGTGGACAACACTATGTGGACAACACTATGCGGCATGCAGAGAGCACTTTGTTTATAGCACTGCGTGTACATCACCGTTTTGACACAACTATCTTGTCAACACTATGTGGACAGCTTGATGTGGGCAACGCTATGTGAACAGAACTTTGTGGACAGCACATATATGTGTAAATTACTATGCTGACATCATTATGTGGACAACACTATGTGAACAGTGCTATGTGGAGAGCACTATATGAACATAACTTTGTGGACTCCACTATCTGAACAGTACTTTGTGGACAGCACTATCTGAACAGTACCTTGTGGACAGCACTATCTGAACAGCACTTTGTGGACAGCACTATCTGAACAGTACTTTGTGGACAGCACTATATGAACAGTACTTTGTGGACAGCACTATATGAACAGTACTTTGTGGACAGCACTATATGAACAGAACTTTGTGGACAGCACTATATGAATAGTACTTTGGGGACAACACTATCTGAACAGTACTTTGTGGACAGCACTATATGAAAAGTACTTTGTGGACAGCACTATATGAACAGTACTTTGTGGACAGCACTATATGAACAGTACTTTGTGGACATGATTATATGAACAGTACTTTATGGACAGCCTAGGCAAAATAAAACCATCGAAAATCGTACCAGGCCAGCTGCATGGAAATACAACAGACCAGCTGCATGGAAATACAACAGACCAACTGCATGGAAAAACAACAGACCAGCTGCATTGAAATACAACAGACCAGTTGCATGGAAATACAACAGGCCAGCTGAATGGAAGTACAACAGGCCAGCTGCATGGAGATACAACAGACCAGCTGCATGGAGATACAACAGACCAGCTGCATGGAGATACAACAGACCAGCTGCATGGAAATACAACACACCAGCTGCATAGAAATACAACAGACCAGCTGCATGGAAATACAACAGACCAGCTGCATCGAAATACAACAGACCAGCTGCATGGAAATACAAAATGTTTTTTCAAACATTCAGCTGAATCTACTGACATACCCCACCCCCGACCCACCCTTTTGAAGCAGGTGTTAAACACACGTGGGTAGCACACTTGATCTAAATAAACAAATAACAGTTTACGAAAAAGGTAAACAAATAAATAGAATAAAGCCACCAGTTAGAACTATTAGAATATGGAAACAAGCTTAGACTTGGGAAATGGTGTCAAATAAAGGGTTACCGTAGTGTGGACACCAAGAAGACGGTATTGGTACACACCATCTCAGCCTTTTAAGCATTGGAGTTTACAGCATGCGTTAACAACTTAGATTACAAACAAGGAGGCGCCGGGTTGAAAGAAAATAGTCAATAATGTTCCTTACCAAGTCCCCATCTCTGATGCCTTTTGTTTTCCATTTCTTGGGATGACGTATTAGGCGGTCTGGAATTGAATATTTCATATAGCCTAGAATAAATAAGTCAACTGTAAACTTCATCATCCGTTGTAATCAGTTTAATAGTGGCTTATAAAGGGAAAAAAAAAAATATTATAACGTGTAAGTTTATAATAAGAAAAAATAAGATAAGATGTAATTTTATAAACTTGATAAATCATAATCATAAGGTGTAAGCTTATAAAAGAAAAAAAATGATAAGATTGTTAACTAAAAAAGTAACGAGATGCAAACTTGTAAACTGAAAGAGGCGGTCGTCTTGCTATTGAAACATATAGGTAGGCATGTAGAGCAACTCTCCCTCATTTTAAATAAATTACTGCTCAAGCCAATGCTGCTAATCTTAATTTAAGGACAACTTTATATTTATATATTTTTTTTTTAAAGTGATTTTTATGATTTCAGTGGTAAGCAGTGGGAATGATTACCAACTAGAATTAGGCCGAAATTAGTATCAAGTTAAGAAAAACAAACGACAAAACAACAACTTTGGGTTGTTAGATAAGTTGTAAGCTTATAAAATAAAAAGAATTATAAGATGTAAGATAATATAAAAGAAAAAGATTATAAAATGTAATATTATGAACTAAAAATATTATAATCGTAAGCTTAAACAAATTTTTTTTAAAAAGTAAGGTGTAAGCTTATAAAATAAAAGAAAACTAGATCTATTATTTTATAAGATGTAAGTATTGTAAGTTGATAGGCTAAAAATCATTGAGATATTAAAAAAATAATATTTTTATTAATTAAATAATATATTATATATAATTATGATTTACATTCTGTTAAATGTCAGAAACATAAAAATAAAAAATATCCAGTTCATTCGTTAATAAATTAATCAAATGTATTTCTCATTAAACTATTCAGTCATTCAGTAAATATTTATAATATTTCATTTATCAACGTTCGATAGCGTTATGACTAGTCTTTAAAAATAAAATAAAAATAAAAAATTACATTTTTCTCATTTAAAACGAAAACGTAGTGGAGAGATCTCTGTTCAAATATTTACTTTGAACATTCCTAGAGTGGCCAAGCATTATAACTTAACAAAATTCTCCAGCTTCGATTGGGAATTCTTTGAAGCTATTTTTAGAAATGAAACCTGACAAGAGTTCCATCAAGTTTTATCGGAAAATTCCAGTAATGAGGAAGCTTTCCCCAAAATGACACAATAATCGTGTGTTTAAGCGCGGGTAAGATACACATTTAAAATGTAAATAAGATTACACTCTTAAAAATCTGAAAATAAACAAAGATAAAAGAATAAGATTTGAGGCCAAACGAAATACAATCACATCTCATGGACAAATTAAAAAAAAAGAGAGAAAATGCAATCTAGAAATATCGAAACAATTTATGGCTACACTATGGGCAACTATGGCCTATCCTATACTATACGAAGACTATACTATTTTGCTGAACAATCTTAAGTCATTACACTTATATCTTAAATTTACTGTACGTTACGTCTCAATCTCATTATAGCTATACTATACTAAATAAATGTATCACAGGAACTACACTCACGTCTCAAAGAAGCAGATACCTATCTAGGGTCTCAAATTAACTATGTGTCTCGTAGTAGTTTTACAATGCGCCCGCAGTCACATATATTAATACACATCTCGATAAAATGGGGAATTTTTCTAATTCAGTCTTAGGAGAATACTCTATTAACCATTTATACAGATCTATTTATAGACATGTTTTGAACTGTCGACTCTGTAGCGAATAAAGTATGGCGACACCATTTCCGTTTCAATAAACTGTATATATCAACAGCAGTGAACTCAGTACAGAAGTTAGCCCCCCCCCCCTCCCCAATCCGCCGCCAAAAAATAAAATAAAAAATAATTAATGATAATTTTAAAAAGTTAATTATTTCCGTTTCAATAAACTGTATATATCAACAGCAGTGAACTCAGTACAGAAGTTAGCCCCCCCCCCTCCCCAATCCGCCGCCAAAAAATAAAATAAAAAATAATTAATGATAATTTTAAAAAGTTAATTAATATTTCATTCATGTAAATAAATATAATTTTTTTTTTATTTAAGCAAAATGTGTGTTACCTATTATTCTAATTTCGTCATTAAGCATTGTGTCGGAGCAGGAATCCTAGAATGTGATGAGCGTGAGATGAGTTGAGGGGCGGTGAAGAAGGAGCCGCATGAGCAAGACAAGGATACTGACTCACGCCACGGAGATAGGGTACAAAATATGAGGACAAAAATAAGTAGGACCGGAAAAACTACACGATTAAACTATCGTAACTCTAGGGTTCTGACTTTTATTGACAGTCGTTCACCCCACACCCCCCCTCCCCCCCCCCCCCCCCCCCCCGCGACTACACGGGCCTTTGACGTAAAATGGATACATATATGAGCTCTGCATTATGTGCCCTGTATGTGCTATCCTATGACGCACATGTAGACGCACGTGGCAAGTACCTTCTTTCAATCGCCGATACACTGATTAGAGAGGTTGATTGTCTGTGGAGAGTTTGTTTACGTTTAAAAAACAAAAATAATAATCAGATTACTATTCAGCTCGTCTTTAAATTTTGTGGTAGGGTAAAGTAGAGAATTGTATGGATTAACTGGGAACCGTACGGAACGTTTAGCTATTCTAAAAAAAAACACACAAAAACGCACATACATTTTGAAGTTCTTTTAAGCTTTAAAGGAAATGTATTTGTTGGCTGAGTATTTTCGAGTGTCCATATAGGGGAATTCATTTTTCTTTCCATGGCACTAGTCAGGCGATGTCTCTAAACCGTGGCACCTTTTAATGTGGCAAAAATCTGTGGCTTAACGCCTTAAATTATAGCGTGAAAAGAATATTTTAAGAAATATAAAGGAAAAGTAACTGAGCGTGGTAGGAAGTAGGCCTCAAAATGGAAATGCAACCAGGAAGTGAATCAAATCGACCAATCATGAGAAAGGAGAAAAGGCTGCAAGTAAATTGATAGATGTGCTCACACAATTTTCGGGGAAAATTATTAATTCCGTAATGCAATGCAACTTGTAGACGACATTCGATGATATCGTACCTAAACACGACATTCGCTGATATCGTACCTAAACATGACCTTTGCTGATATCGTACCTAAACATGACCTTTGCTGATATCGTACCTAAACACGACATTTGCTGATATCGTACCTAAACACGACATTTGCTGATATCGTACCTAAACACGACATTTGCTGATATCGTACCTAAACACGACATTTGATGATATCGTACCTAAACACGACATTCGCTGATATCGTACCTAAACACGACATTTGATGATATCGTACCTAAACACGACCTTTGCTGGTATCTTACCTAAAGAAATTTTGCTGATATCGTACCTAAACACGACCTTTGCTGATATCGTACCTAAACACGACATTCGCTGATATCGTACCTAAAGACATTTGCTGATATCGTACCAAAACACGACATTTGCTGATATCGTACTAAAACACGACATTTTCTGATATCGTACCTAAACACGACATTTTCTGATATCGTACCAAAACACGACATTCGCTGATATTGTAATCAAAGAAAGTATTAATCTGCTCTCGATGTTCACCCTTACTAGAGTGTTTGATGATGTAATCTGGGTAAAAGTGAGAAAGGTGGGGGGGGGGAATCAGTGACATATGTCATATTGTTAAAATTGTGTGTTGTGAACATCGATATTAAATCAAACCAATCTGGCTTACAATCCGACGTTCACGGGTAACATAAACAACAACAAACAAGTCACGTAAAAACCAAAATTGACTTTGATCGTCATGTCACTGCAACAGCAACACGAGAACTCGCTCCACCCCCCCCACCCCAAAACCCCCCACCCCCCACCCACTTGCTTCGTTTGGGGGAAAGTCCAACACCAACTATACAACAAACAAGTCACGTAAAAACCAAAATTGACTTTGATCGTCATGTCACTGCAACCGCAACACGAGAACTCGCTCCCCCCCCCCCACCCCAAAACCCCCCACCCCCCACCCACTTGCTTCGTTTGGGGGAAAGTCCAACACCAACTACTTAACGTGACGCTCGCTCGCTGCACGCACACGCACACACACACACACGCGCACACACACACACACAAACAGTCGATTGGGCAATTTCAGCCCGTCTAGCATTGCCCGCCAGCTCAACGTCACATGTGGCCCCACATCGATGACATCGTCGTTGGCTCAGCGTTCATGGTGGAAAGGTGTTTCAGGAGACGGCCAGCTGTCAGTGTTGTGTTGGTGTTCACAAAAATACTAACGGTTACGTTCAAGACAGTTCGATATAGACCAACTTAACAACTATATCACAACCTTTATATATAAATCTCTATATATAAGTATTCTGGATACAAGTTCCGGTTGTTCATCTCTTATTTTATCAGTTGCCCCATCTGACAAGTGCTGGTTTCTTTAAAGGACAGAGAGAGGGTGTCAAGTGTCCTGACAAGGGAGCGCCCCCCTTGAAACTACCAGACCTTGGTAAGTAATACGGGGCGTCTTGATTATTTGTGGGAAGTTTTAGGATTACCAAATATCAACAGATGGGGAGCAGGGCTGCCACTCAATTTTTCTGTTAATTCCAAAGATTTGGTCAAAACATTTCCCAAGATTTCCCAAGATCATGAAATTATATGAGATTTTTTTTTTAAATGATCTTGGGGAATTTTTTTTTTAAAGTGAGTTATGGTCCTAAATAGGGTAGTGAATTCCCTGATGGGGCGTGTTCAAGATATTGACGCCCCTATTTACTTTACACTACGGAACATTTGGAAACTAGCCATTCTCAAATGTAAATCCTATCACGTTTAGCGGCATGAGGGTGTAGACTAGTGAAGATATACCGCCTGTATATAAATGTGATTCGTGCAGTGATTGGGGGGGGGGCATGTAATGTAGCAATGTAAGCACTGTAGCTATTCCCAACCGGTAGCAGTATCGTACTTGTAACAAGACCGACCATGTAAAAAAAAATTACAACGCTTGTTGCATGTGTACCTTGTAGCAACCACCCAAGTAGAAATAGCGCCCTGTAGCAACGCCACCCCCGGTAGCCAGTGACGGATTTCCCTTTAGATTAAGTAGGCTTAAGCCTAGGGCCTGCAAATCTCAGGAAAAAAGGGGGGGGGGCGTCAAAATTAAGAGATAAAAAACAAAACAACAACCCATTTTATAGATACCAGCGCGTATTTTAATGCTGTCTTGATTGTTATCTCGCTGTATTGATTGCTGTCTTAATTGATTTCTTGACTGCTGTCTTGATTGCATCCTTGACGACTGTCCTTTGCAAAGCGACAGCGCTATCGCAGTTCTTGATTTTGTAAAGCGACAGCGCTATCACAGTTCTTGATTGTTGTCTTGATTGCTGGCTTCACTGTTGTCTCTAGTTCTGTCCTGATTGTTGTCGTCATGCAGTCAACAGTTCTGAAATTAACAAAGACAGTTTAAAATGTATTGTCAGCCTCCACAAAAAAAAAAAAGAAAAGAAAAAAGATGGAGCGTTTTAACATAATGTTTAGCCTCATGCACAAATTGCCTTATCTATAAATTAATTATCTAGGTTGAACATGCAAATAAGGGGAATCCCCCACCTCCACCCCCCCCCCCCC